TTGTATGCCCCATTAGAATGATTATTGTAAACAATTTTTTCATTTCTGCTGAAGTGACATCCACCCACGTCAACACCTTATAACTTCTGTCATGTTCTTCATGGTGTTGGAGATAGTATCTGTTAGTTTCCTGACATAACATGTCAAAGAAATTTTCTCCAAAAAAAAGTCCTGCTACTCCAGACACTTGCGTTTGGTCTGATGGAATTTGCTTCACCCCTGGATTTCCAGTAAACTGTCCCAAAGCAGGCGTTTTGTCTACTTTTCCCCATGTGGCTGCTCCCGTAATGTTGCTACCCGCACTTTCATCGGAGCTACTGTCACTTTCACTTTCACTGTCTGTGGCCACAATTTTTTTTCGCCCCTGCCACACTCACTATCAGTTTGTGAGTCGCTGTCACTAGCAGAATCACAAGGGACGTCAGATAGCTCATCGGAGCACAAGTCAGATATTTCTTGTTCTCCGAGAAAACGCTTGGACCTCAACCTCTTCCAACTTTGATCCATTTTGCACTAGTAACTTCCTGCCTGGTGCATGCAGCTGGAGGATGAACAAAGGCATTTTCTTTTGAAGTGGGAAAGGAAAACAGTTGGGTCATAAACAGTGGGGTCATGTTACTAACTACGAAGCAAACCTTCAAGAGGTCTGTCATGCATCAGTCATGCGTCTGCCTGGCGCCAGTGCAAGCTATAGTGTATTTCAACATAACGTGTCCTGAAATCATAATAATATGCCACCGGTCCACCACGTTTAAATTTCCACCATGTGAACAGTTTTCATGGACTGAATTACCTTCGTAAGTTGAGGAACACCTGTTGTGTTGTGTGTGTGTGTGTGTGTTGTTTTTTTTTTTTTAGATTACTGTGGTGGAGGAATGTGCCATATGGTGACTTTTTCACTTTGCATACTGCCTGAGATAACCACACATACAGAATTCTTCGAGTGTTAATTAAATCTTATAATTTAGTTTCCAAGTATGTGTGTCATTGTGTCTCTTATTGTTATGTGTTAGTTTACCATACAGAGGAACATACTAATTCCTGTCCATTGCTCCTGTCACCAGTTTGTGCCCATCCATACCTGGCAACAGATTTAATATATATCAAATGAAAGCTGTCCATTCTGTGCTGCCGATCCTGTTTTATGTTACCTGTGTTGTAGTTATTTCACATGACTTCATGAGCTTAGTAACTTGAGATGTGGAGGAAGAAGAGAAACGTTGGCATGTTATAGGCAACTCCACAAATGAGAGTCAGTGTAATGGCCAATGCAGGTACGCTAGAAGTTCCACAATTCCAGAAGCAGAACACATCTAAAGCAATACAAAAAAGCAGTCTGATTATTCTCAGAAAGCTTTGGAAATGAACATTCCCAAGATTTGAAACAGCTGAGACTATGAAGTTCTCTTGAATGGGTTGTTTGAAATGCCCAAGGCTCTGCTGCTCTAGAAATAATGAACGCTGAGTGTCAGAAAAGGAAGGAGGAGAAAATAAGAAGTGTTATAGGGCAAACATCTGAAGCAGTTAGCTGTTCCAGAAAACTTTCTTACATTTAAACTGCTTTTAGGGTTAGAAGGAGTAGGGAATCTGAGCATAAATTTAACTCGAAAAGCAAAGTTTAACAGTTCTGTGAACACTTTTATTTGAGTTCTGCGTCCAGAAATTGTACTATGAGAATTTTATTAAAAAAGATTAAGGAGAAGCACTTTATAACAGTCTGTTGTTGCCTAACTGCTATGTGTTGACAACACTCGCAGCTAAGAAGACACCACAAGACACAGTTTACACAGAATATAAGAAAAACGACCCCCATAGCGGAAGAACCACATGCAAGTTTTAATTATGACACATAAGATGAATAATCTTAACAAGTTTTAGTGTGTGTAAATTTATTATAGTTGACAAATACGCACTTTTTAAATACTATTTAAATAATTTTATAAAGGCAAGCAATGAAATAGATAGCATAATTAGGGCACCTGATGATGGCACTATGTTGCCAAAACATGTCGTGAAGTAACAGGTGAAACTGAGTGCACTACAAGACGGCAACTGTATACATATCATGGATCAGATTCATTGTTGAGAATAACAGTCCTGAATATTTTACTTTATTCTAGTTATATAAAATATTGTATAGAAGTAAATCATAAATGTGCCTTTTCACACACATGATTAAATTCTGTCCATCATATAATCGGACACATCAAATGCTACTGCATTTGACAGTAATGATTCATAAAGAGCAGAAAATTATTTCCTTGTTGCACTAAATTGAACATGTTATAGGTCAGTGTGATTTGGACATTGCATTTCAAATTACCAATGCTTTATGATAAATTCTTTTAGCATGAAAATTCCTGTTCTTTGTGCTGGGAAAATAGTCCAAGCATTTTATATTGATTAGGTGTTTTCAGAATGTCCCATACGTAAATCAAGATTATTTTTATTGAAGCAGCTGATTTTATTTATATGGTTTACAGGATGTGTGTTGTTTCAATTCCTGTACTTCTGTTTACAGATGTGGCAGTTTGCACCAAACAGTGTTCACTATCTTCTTAGTCTGTGGCAAAGAATGGTTGCGTCTGTTCCTTACGTGAAGGCTACTGAACCTCATCTTTTGGAGACATACACGCCAGAAGTTTCTAATGCTTACATTACATCCAGATTAGAGTCTGTTGCAGTTGTTGTTAGGTACCTGCACATTACATTTAAAAATATATTGCTCTGTATAAATTAAACAATTGACCTTTCAGTGACTTTCTTTCAAAAATGGTAATGGAGCAGATGGAAGTCCATCTGTTGGGAATCTTAGTTGGAGTTTTAAGGGAAAGTTCTGATAAATTGGCAACTTCTTTCATATGCATTGCATGTGTTCAGTATGTAACTATACTCACATATATTTCCTTTCTTTTTGTATGTGAGAGTGAAGGGTACATATCTGCCCTTCACCACACTGCTCCCAGTGGTCAGTGTTGTATCATGTGACATGAAGCTTGTATATCTTGTACTGGATGTTCCACCTTGTGTGAGGTGTGAATGTTTCTCAGCCTTTTAGACTCTATATATCATTTCACAGTACAGTTAATTTACCACCATAACCTATGTGAACAATAATTTTGAGTGCATTTTTTGATAAATTATTGAAGAAATGTGTGTGCATTTTCAATTAACGAAAATATATCTGCTAAATAAGTGCAGGTGTATCTCCATGTTCACAAGAAGTATTTTTCTGAGGTGATAATCAGTAGCAAAATTCACACATAATTTTTTGTTCATGTGGAGAAAACAAAAGTAATGAAAGTTTCGAGACAACCAACCCGTCACAATAAAGATAGACCAAAAACAACTGGAGAATGAAATGTTTTAAATATTTGGGTAGCTTGTTAACAGATGATGGAAGGTGTACTAGTGAAATTAAATCCAGGATTGCCATGGCAAAAGCTGCATTTAGCAAGAAGAAGAATCTTTTTACCAGCAAATTGGACTTAAATTTGAGGAAGAAACTAGTGAAATGCTACATTTGGAGCATAGCTCTGTATGGGG